GTTGAAAAAATGCATTGAATCCTCTAAGGATCAATATAAAGGCGAAAAAATGACCGAATATGCCATGAATTCGTCCTCTTACGACCATGAAAACTCATCGATGCTTCAGGTACTATTGATTTTACTTTTCTAGAGTTGATTTCCCAAATTAAAATTGTTTTGATGATTTTGAATCTTTGATCAATTGTTGTTGATTTATTTAAGGAGGAGGAAGTTAAAAAGCACAGAGAACCAATGACCGCTGCTTATGGTTGCAAAAACAAAAAGAAGAATATTGTTTCACTGATTGAAAATGATGGTGGCGATGCTCCGATTGTAGATCTTGTTCCTACAAAGGAATATAAGAGAGACATGATCGGAAAAGACAATAATAACTTTTCAATTGTAGATGTTGTTTCCACAGAGGAAACCGAAATGAACATGGAATTAGCAGTGGGCTGTGAATTCTGTGTGACTGGTTATCATAAGGAGATACCCTTGGCTGTGCTAATGGGGGAAGTAGAGACTACGCACAATTACATTAATGAAACATTAGCTGATAAGTTAGGTTGTGAGACAGTTCCAATCCAGCCTCAAATTGTTCGCTCAGATTTGGGGGAAATGGTGACCTCCAGACTATGCAACAACTTTCAATTGTCAATGGAAGGCATTGTGTTTAATTTGAAAGTATATCTACTTCCACTTCCGTTGAAATATGACATGATTTTAGGAGGGGAATGGCTAGGGGCCCTTGAGAAAATTGTAATTAGCTATGCTGGTATAGAGTTGTACTTACTAGAAGGAGAGAAGAAATTCATACCTTTCAAAAAGCCGTTAGAGGTCAAAGACGCAAGCGTTTCTAAATGAGTTGCTGATGATTCTTAGGGATGGTAAATATGATTTATCATTCTATTAATGCCTATTTGTTTCTGTTGTCAGTATTCATATAACTTGTTCTATGTCATTTGAGTTATGAATTGTTTGTTAAGTTGTAATAATGTTATTTGCTATTATGAATTCACATTCAACTCTGGTATTTTAATTGTCTAAGGGTTTTGTCCTGCCCCTCTTATTTGCGCAACTTATATACATGAAGATTGAAGGGTACAATTTTTTTTGCGGCGTCGAATTTATTCTTGTATTATTAAAAACAATTTACATTAGTATTTTTTATATTTTTGGTCAACTTACCTATTTTTATTTCTTAAGATTTTATAAACCTTATGTTTTTCTTTTGATTTTGAATATTACACCATCTTTTCTTATTTCGCATTTAGTGTAACAACTAACAAAAATATATTTCATTCTAAATTGAACAAACATACCCCATATATATTCATTGCAATGTTTTTGTTTATTTTGTGACACAAAAGTCTCCATTTAAAAAAATATTTTAGAATGGAACATGTATTAAATTTGAAATTGTGTGAAGATACTTAATTTCTCACAAGAAATAATTAATGGTCGACTTAAATGAAATTGACTTAATCTAAAACTCATTCTTTAACCAACAAGATTGTACTAATCACCAAATTGTAACCATTACAAATCCAATACCAAAGTCATACCCAACTTGCGGTTCTAAAAAACACCAAAGACAACGTTTATGCTCTAGGTCCCAACAATGTTTAGCAATAGCAGCCTCATTTCATGAGTGAAGATTAATCAAGTTGAGGTCACCTACTGATTTTGGAGAACAAACTCTTTCCCAAGCCACCAAAGCTCTCTTGGTGATGAAAGGTAGGGTTCCTAATGTCAAACCAAGACGACAGAAAATTAATTTGGCCTTGCATTGTGTGCTTAGTAATAATGTCCATTCTTTTGAGTATTCCAAACTTAATCATTTAGAGCTACGATTTATAGTTCATTTTATTTTCTTTTGATAGTTCAATCGTGAAATTTCTTTGTTATTATATTTACGTAATAAGAGTGGCGTACGCAGAAATTTTTGTTAGCAGTGTCACGTTCAAGTAAAAATTATAAATTATCATTTTTGAAATGAATTCAAATAACCTCATTAAAAGTAATACTCTCCTTTTTGAAATGAATTCAAATAACCTTATTAAAAGTAATACTCTCCTTTTTTGGAATGAATTCAAATAACCTCATTAAAAGTAATACTCTTTCCCAGTGCAATGGCAGAGCCTGAAATTTCTCTCATTTTTTAAATTAATTCAAATAACCTCATTAAAAGTAATACTCTCATTTTTTTAAATGAATTCAAATAACCTCATTAAAAGTAAAATAACCTCATTCAAATTTCACCAAAGGTGTTTAAACTTTAAATAGACGATAATGGGGATTGAACCCCTAACATCTATGAGGTAAATGAGTGTGCTTACCGCTATACTATATGCCTTTGCTATTTGAAGAGTGCTCAATTTTTATATATCCAGATATTAGACTATAATTTTCTTACATACTCGATATAATTTTCCGACGAAGGGTGTTCATCTGACCACCCTTACTAGGCTGTAGCTCTGCCCTGCTTCCTCTGTCCATCATTAATTTACTGATCTATGTTTGACTTGGCACACCGTTAAGAAATAATAAGAGAGATATTTTACTATCTCGCCCTTATTAATTATAAATCATCCATCTAAATATTGAAAAATAAATAGTGTTGAATGCAAGGATAAAGTGAGCACAAAATGATCAATTATATTTTAGTATCCAACTTGGAACTACTATTTTTAATATATTGGACAATAAAGATTGATGGAGGAATATTAAATATTGTTTT